CTAACAGCAGGATGGCTACGACAACTGTTACTGTTATTTATCAGGAACATTACAATGTAACTGTTACAACAAACCTCCCTCATAGAAACAATAACTGCAGGTTGGATACGACAACTGTTACTGTTATTTATCAGGAACATTACAATGTAACTGTTACAACAAACCTCTCTCATAAAATTAGTAACAGCAGGATGGCTACAACAACTGTTACTGTTATTTATCAGGAACATTACAATGTAACTGTTACAACAAACCTTTTTCATAAGACTACTAACAGCAGGATGGCTACAAACTGTTACTGTTAGTTATCAAGAACATTACATTGTAACTGTTACAACAAACCTCTCTCATAGGAACGCCTGCTTCTGTTTGCCTGCGCTAACTGTCACAGTTTCCCAGCTATTTGTCGAGTTAATAACTATGAGAGGTAGTAAATGTCCTATAAGGGTAGTGGAATTTTGGTTTGACTGTCAAAATGTTTTTCGTACATTTTATACATGTCACGATACTAGTATAACTCTCTAAAAGTTTTGTACAGACAATTTATGCCTCTAATAAAGTTTTGGAGTCACTGAATCATTAAACATTTTATAAAGTAATATAATAGCCTGATCACTCAAGAACGTAAAAAAATCTCATACTAAAATAGAAAAGATTTGGTTATTCGTTTGTTTTGAAATTATTTTTAATTTCTATAATTTTTGATTTAATGAAAACAAGTTTTATCAAGTTTTGTTTGATGAGAGGAATTTTTTGTTGGTTAGCCAGTTTATACTGAAGTTTGCGGTTAATTTAAACTTTTAAACAAGATCTGGTTTTGATAGTACAACAGAAAAAGCCTTCTTAAATATAATATAGTTTGTTTTATAGATTAGTTTCTAGTTGCAATGGTTTTCATAAGGAAATACTTACCAAAATTTGTATGAATTATGGTCTAACAGAAGAGAAAATCAATCTTGTAAAGACAAAGGTTTATATCAAAATGAAAATGGTAATCATAAGAAAAAATGTTTTATAAACATATAATTTCATTCTAAGCTTTAATTAAATTTTTGTTTGTGCAATTATAGTAACGACTGTATTTTTTATTTTTTTTTATTTATACAACTAAATATTTTTATTAAATTAGTTCTTACATTGTATATTATAGTACTTGATCTAAATTGAACTATCTATTTTAAAGAAATTAATAAACTGTCGATTATTTAAATTTAATACAAATACAAAATAATGTGGAGATTTTATAACAAAGCCCCAGCAGTAATTAATAATGAATTTAAATGCAATCAGTGCTGTCGTTGATTTTATCGGGCTTTCGTATTTTATATTCTTTTAACGATCTTAAAGTCAATTTGCGGAACTTGATTAAATAAACCTCAATTAGTTACAACAAATTGCATTTGCATTTTACCTTTCTGTCTGAAATTATGTTATTACGAGTACTACAGTTAGGTTCTTTAACAACCCTCAATGTTATAATGTTTTTCAATTTATAAAATTACCAAAAAAATTAATCGGTTCTTACAATTGTTAATCATATCTATCTCAATTCTAACATTAACATTTAAGCTGTTTTTAGTTATAAGTATTATAGAATGTAAGGGGTATTTTCAATATATTACTCGTTCACTAAATAATATTTAAGTTTTATTTTATTTTGATACACACTTTAAATTGTTTCTTAAATTTTATTTAGCCGATACTTGAAATCTATCATTACTATCGATAGTTTAAGAGAATGTACATGTCTGGGTAAAGAACTGAAAGTTTTTCTATGATGGTTGGAAAAAAGTGGTAAGGGGTGAAAATATGATATGATTGATGATATCGGAAACTTGTCGAGAGTGTTATCGTATGATGAGTTTGTCAACTGTATCGTGTCCATTACAAAGTTTGGTGGGAGAGCACATGGGGGGGGGGGGTTGAGAGAGGACAGGTAAGAACGAAAAGTGGCTGTAAATGTAGGCGAATGGAGGCCGAATATGTTTTGCCTGAAATATAATATTTTACAAATACATGTAAATCATCATATACGTATCATATGATCATATACGTATATTTTAGTCTCCCAACACAACGTATGCTATGTTTTCACCTGTGCAGAACACAAACACAAACGATTAAATAATATCCATAAATTTCAACAAGTCCCACAATTTATCATAAGACTCAAATTTGTATGTCTTCTACATTCTGAGGACGAAAAAAAATTCTTATAGTCATTTTATCTTGGATTTTTAGAATTTCCTTACATCAATACTGTACGATTATTTTAAAACTATACGTAATTTCATAGATTGGTCATATAGATTCAATATAGATTCATATAGATCAGTCATTTAGATTGGTGGGTGGGGGCAGAGCTGAATAGTACTCACCTATCTTTTGGAAGTTAATTTTTTTTTCATGGAAAAAACAAACTTTTTAAATGGTTACGAACTGGCTTTCAATAAATAATTCTGGTTAGAAAACCAAATTATTGTTATCAACGACAGTGGCAAATCTGCCGTCTTAGAATTAGCACTCATAACTCACTCATATTTGCCTTTGAATATTGTGATGTGTCATTTTGAAAATATCTAAATTATCAGCATTTAATTCACTGAACAGATCCTAACCAATTACTGTTCAAAAACACTTTATTCACTATTGATGTATTTAAAAACTGTTATTACTACATACGTATTAGTGTATTTTACTTAATTAAAAATGACAAGATTATAACAAAATTACATGTACAAAATAATAATAATAGCTTAGAACAACATGAATATCTTACATTATATGAAGGAGAGTTTTCCACCTAGAGAGGTGTAACATCTAATGGTGTAACCGCAGCCACTCTATCTTCACTAATGACCACCTTAAGTGCTTCACCGCGCCGGACGTGGACCTCATATAGAACACGACCTCTCGGTTAAAGTAATACAGCTCCTTAACAACATGAATATCTTACAACGTATGAGGGAGAGTTTTCCACCTAGAGAGGTGTAACAACTAATGGTGTAACCGCAGCCACTCTATCTTCACTAATGACCACCTTAAGTGCTTCACCGCGCCGGACGTGGACCTCATATAGAACACGACCTCTCGGTTAAAGTAATACAGCTCCTTAACAACATGAATATCTTACAACGTACGAGAGAGAGTTTTCCACCTAGAGAGGTGTAACAACTAATGGTGTAACCGCAGCCACTCTATCTTCACTAATGACCACCTTAAGTGCTTCACCGCGCCGGACGTGGACTTCATATAAAACACGACCTCTCGGTTAAAGTAATACAGCTCCTTAACAACATGCGTGGATGTTATTAATAAAAAAGCATACACCATTGCACATTTAGTTATTATAATTTTTTTATTTTTTATTAAATAGGTTAAATCATATATCTCCTTGTAGATACTAAGTTAACAACACAAGTTTGACAATTGGATGTTTTAATTTGTATTTTATGTTGTAAGGTGACAGAATTCTTATCTCTTTTCACTCAAAGCATTTAAGAACTAGATTATTTAATTTTCAAATCTTCTGATAAAAAATTATTTCTTTTATCTGAGCAGACCCCAATGAAGATGGCGTCTTCATAAAATATATTTTCATTTATTATAAATTAATATAGTATCACACGTATCTTTGGAACTTGCCATGTAGACCACGAATCTAATAAAATCGAGTAACATTTTAATTATTCCACCCATGGTCAAGGACAAGTTTATTCTATGTGCCCGTGTCTTGTGTATGTTTATTCTTAACTCTGTTAACGATCTTCAAATAAATGCATTACTTAGACCTCGTAGGCCGTACGGTTAAAGACCCGAAACTTGTTCCCACTACTAGCAACCAATAATTACCAAGTCATATATGTATTGTACACCATTTTGAATAAAATATAATAAATTATCAAACATTTTGATTTTTAGGATTTGCATAGTAACTTTTTTGTTATTTGGTAACTGGTTAAAATATATTTTTGTTCTTTTTAATTTTCGAATATTTTATATTCGGGGGTTTGAGCTGGTCTAGCGGTAGAGCATGGTACTTCGGTCCCTGAGATCAAAAGTTCAAATCCCGCCAAATCACCACTGGATTTTATCTAAGTTATAATGCTCCAACTTAAGTTAAAAAGGTCTAGCCTGATGTAATGTGAATGTTGTTATTCAATAATGGAATAGAGTGTGTATTTAGAACTTATTATCCTATAATATCACTCTGACCCACAATCATAGTTAAATCTGCGTAAACATTGAACTGTATGGTATCTACCAAATATTGTTTAAATAAGTAAATTGGTGGTGTGATTAGAAAAAGTTGATCAAATAATAAACACTGTGAGAACACAACATTCATAAAATAAAACCACTTTGTGCCAATCAAGCTTTTTATAACTATGTTATAAAGGACGGTTGGTTAAATAAACATGTTATTTTATTTTACACAAAGGTAAAATAGAGGTATCCAAATTCCCCTGGAGGTCTGATAAAAGAATGTCATGCTTATGTCACCAGTTGACATTTTACAAATGAGATTACCAAAAGGCTCTCACAGCTTTTGACCTACGTCCTTCCAACAACACTCTTTTTTGTTTTATTTCACACCTTGCTGTATTTTTTTCCAATAATAAATAATCTATCCCAATAAAATATTTATTTACAATATCGTATAAAATCATAACTAGTGTATATTGTTGCAGTTTTCAATTATTTTTTTATAAAACGTTTTTTATATTTTTTAATTATTCAGATGCATATTAAATTACGTTATTCCTTTGTAATTTTATTCCTTCATAATATGCTAGTCAAGCTAGAACATGCCATGTGGCTCTAACTTAACATTGATAAATGAAGAATTTTTTATTTAATTTAATTTAAGTTTAACACATTTTTTATTATTCAAAAAATATAACTATTCCTTTTAGTAAGGAGAAAAAAATTACTTACTTCACATTTCCATAAATTTCACTCAGTTGGTTCTGGGAAAACCAGAAGAAAAACACTCTTCACAATATTTAAATATTTATTTTCAGATTTATACAGTTTATATTTCTCTACGTCCTGCAGGTAGCTCCAATCGCGCGATATATACAAATAGAAGACTCTGGCATTAGTAAAAATAATATCAACATTTGTTAGACCTACTTCATCACGTACAATTCTCCTATATTACAAACTCTCACAAATAGTTGGGTAGGTACACATTTAATTCAGCCTACTAATTCACTACACATAAAATGACACGCGTAAATTTACAAATGCTACAAAACTATGTACAATAATTTGTGCTTTTCCCCGTATAATGTTGAATAATATTCGAACAGAATGGAATTCTAAACTAATTTACTACTGTGTCGGTTTCGTTGATTGAAAGCATAGACAAATAAAATTAAAAATATAGACCAACAGCAGTGCTGTGGTTAGCGTAGGTTCTGGCGTACACCACTAGGAGCGTCGGGTAGTTAGACTGCATGCACTACGGAACTACATGGCGCTCCTAGCGGTGGACGCCAGAATTTATGCCAACGGTAGCACTGCTATAGGTCTAGATCTGTTTCAATGTGAACCGATATAATCAGGGCCTATACAGTTCTGTTATGACAAAATTAAAGTTATGTTACCAACTTTAGTTTAAACATTTTATTTTATATGCAGATAGTTCTTAATAAATTCCATAACTCACTCAGGAAATCGTATTTTTTAACGATCTTTTTAACAAGTTTATAACGCGTGTTTCTTATAATTTAAATTTGTTTTATATTAATTCCATGAGTAGGTAATTATATTATACAGATTATAATTTCTTATAATATAAATCGTGTATAAACTGGTATAATTTTGACCAACTTGGTGCAAGGAACTGTTTTTTAAGTATTGCTTTAATTCTTGAACATACATAACGAAATGAAGTAAAAATATTATCTCATAGAAAATCACTATACGAGTACCAAAAATCAACCATATCGTACCAATTATTATAACTTTGGGTCAGAAATATTTAGTAGAACACCTTTCATGTTAAATTCGTTGAGTTTCTAGTCAAGTATATGACTTTATACTTGAGAGTATAAAGAGAGATTGTCAAAATAATTTGTCGGTGCGTTAATATGTTTTTCGGGAACGATATTGTAAGCTATTAAATGACAATTATTTCGTAATTATGAAATTAGTAATCTCAAAAAACTTATATTTACAAAATTCATAGTTCTAGAAATGTTTTTTTCTGGATTTGTAAAAGGGTCATAGAGTATTTTACAACGAAAAACAATATCCAAAATATTTACCACTCTTAAAATCCAATCACAAAATCTTATTGCTTACTTTTTAACAAATAATTTTACGATACAAAAATACAAAATTCTTTAACACACCGACTTATGGTTGGACCATGGTTTACCATCGATACATCGAATACAACATTGAAATGGTGTACGATTCAACGTCCATAATAGATAGATCCCTTTGTTATACACAGGACTATAAGTATACTTACAGCTACAGTACATCACGACATATATGCACGTCAAATCTCGACATATGTTCTATTGGTATGTACATACGATATACCAATTGGGAATATATGTTTTGAGAAGAAACAAAAAAATATTGCATATACGGATACAGACAGGTTTATGTTTGAAAGTTTTGCGCTAAGTACCGCTTCAATAAATAAAGTAATCCTGTTGTGTGTTTGTCAAATAAGAAATCTTAAGCGTAACTAATCCGTAGTATTTAAGTAGTTACAGTACTTTCGGTAATATTGAAAGTTTACTTAAATGCAGACAAATATAAAATATACTCCATATATTACAAAACTACAGTAGTTATGTACAATTTGTTTAAAGTATATAAAAAACTATAGACCCGTGAGTTAATTAGTGAACATTTTTTAGATTCGTGTTGATATATTTACAATAAATATTCAAAGTAATACTATCTATCTATAAAAAATACTTATTGCTTTCCATGGGCAAAAATATAACTATAAGTCTTACAGTATATACAAATAATAACTCATACCACAATTTGTTCGCAAAGACTAAAAACTCGCCCAAATCAGGTTAAAGTTAGGTTAAAGTCAGTCCTCTGCGGCTAATTTGCAAAGAATAAATAATAATGCAGCTGAAACTAAGATAACAGAAGGCAACCGAATAATAAGACACATTGACGAATCCCGTTTGAATATTGAAATTAATAACCCAGATTTTCTGAACGGGTTCCAATTAGGATAGTGGTTAATATTAGTTACATGATCTGTAGATTGTTTCAATCTGATGTAGGCCTACCTCATTTCTTTGCAATGAGAACAACTGTATGTTAGTTTTCTGATGAGTTAAACTCTTTGTAGCATCAATTTGATTTATTTATTGTTTTAGAGACCATTGTTTTACCTGAGGACTTTTTTCCTTGAGGATACGATATTTTTCCATCCAAGGTTAGCAAAAATGTCACTGAATTTGATGCAAACAGTGTGTAAAACCCCTTTGAAATATTTAAAAGTAAAGTGTATCACAGCATAAGGAATTTTGCAAATTTTGTATCTTATAAATTCCAGTGGACTATTTGAAGTTGTAAAAACTGATCTGTAACTTATATTTCACTAATACTTGGCTGTTTAATTTTAACTTTAAAATACATTCCACAAAAAATAATCGAAATTGAACAAGAAAACGAAACATCAAAACGTATTGCGGTATAGCACCAATTAAGTCCTTTCTCCACAAATACAAAATACACTATTAGCCGCAGAGTACCGTAAGCGTTATTCCTAAGCGTTATCTATCACTATCGCTACGTCACACTGCTACACCCTCTGCTCGTATCACAGTGACGAGCCCAGTTCGGACGAGCGCCTTCGGTCGATGTGCTTCAGGTAGGTCTCCGAGTAGACGCTCCGAGTGCGGTCGTCGTACCGAAGACTCGGCCTCCGCATGTCCAAGGCGTCCAGGTCGCTAGGTGGCCTCCTGCAGAGGCTGCAGAACGCGCACTGCAGGGTGTTCCGGAACGCCTCTCTGAACTCCCGGTTGAAGTAGGCGTAGATGAGGGGGTTGAGGGTGGAGTTGAAGTAGCCTACCCAGAACACCGTGATCACCACGACGTCTGGGTACTGCACGCCGAACACGGTGTGTGTAACGTACCTGCACATGATTTAGATTAAGTTTGATACAAAGGGCCAAGAAAAGGACAGGGTTTAGGGTCAATTTAAATTTTTTTAAATTATTTTCAGGTTGAAAACGAGGATGTTGTACACAAACCCTACTGTTGTGCTAATGAATATTAAAAAAATATGCCTTTATCACCCAAAATATCATTTTTCCTCTTCCCCGTCCATTTATAGTGGTACCAATAAGATGACTTATAAAATACCTAGTAAGAAACGTGAAGGTGGTACTCTCGAATTGGGTAAAAGCATAGAGATCGATGGGTAACATTACACTTTAAATTTCAAAAGCTCTACTCGCAACTTAACTAACTATTCGGTAATGAAAAAAATCTAATCCTACCAGTAACTGATATGTTTCGATATATATTGAAAATATTTATTTGAGGTCAGCTTACATTCATGTCAATAAATATCTAATGTTATTTGGTTTATGTGAATTTAAATTAGCAAACTTGTCAATCTCATAATGTGACTTGAACTGATGGGTTTAAAACTTACATCTACAATACTTTAAACGCGTAGTGAGTTTGAACTACTGGTTGCTGTTTTCGTGTAGGCCAGGTACATAAATACGAAACAATTGAAATAATGAGTTTATTCCTTCAAAACAAATAAATACAAAATAATACATTCACTTGGAACTACGTTGCCACATTATCCAGTAATCGTGGCAATTTCAATCATACCACTCACCCTGATCATAGATTTAAATACTACTAAAACAATTTCGTGTCAAGTAAATAAACACATATCAAAATGCACCTAAACCTACATTCGAAGAATGAATAAAATCTAAATTGATTAATTGATTATTTTTCCAATAAGAAAGTTTATTCTTGCTGTTTATTTATTTTTTGTACAATCTAAGGATGTTTAAATTAATTGATGAATTTGTTGCTCAAAAACGAGTCCTTCAAGTATACGTACAGAACTATTTTCAGCATTTATTGATTTATTTTATTCAAAACAACCCGTGTAACACTTAGATAAATATATATTTACAATATATCTATTTTAATCTAATAAAGTGTTTACCATGAAAAGAACGGCAGCCAGCAGAGTATAAAGGTGCCCATGATGATTCCCAAAGTGCGTGCAGCCTTGTGTTCTCGCTTCATCTTGATGATGTTCCGATCTTTGGTAGGCGTCGACTGTGCGTGCATAGGACCCACCTCGTGCAGAGTTAGTGTCTTACTGGAGCCACCACTGAAATGATAAGAACAGTTAGGCCAGAACAATCAAAATAGTTAGTTAAATAGACTCTTGATAATGGATAAATAAAACTTGGTTTCCAGGTTGTTGAGGTTCCTACCTAAAGTGATTCATTGTGATGGGATCTAAAAGAGTTTGATATAATACGTAATAGAGGGTTGTCATAAAGTTAAGACTCTCTGATTACAATGATTAGTTCTGTTGAATGAGTTTGATTTAATGTTTAATGGAAGGTTGTCATAAAACTAAGTCTCTCTGATTACAATGATTAGTTCTGTTGAACGAGTTTGATTTAATGTTTAATGGAAGGTTGTCATCAAGTTAAGACTCTCTGATTACAATGATTAGTTCTGTTGAACGAGGTTGATTTAATGTTTAATGGAAGGTTGTCATAAAACTAAGTCTCTCTGATTACAATGATTAGTTCTGTTGAACGAGTTTGATTCAATGTTTAATGGAAGGTTGTCATAAAACTAAGTCTCTCTGATTACAATGATTAGTTCTGTTGAACGAGTTTGATTTAATGTTTAATGGAAGGTTGTCATAAAACTAAGTCTCTCTGATTGCAATGGTTAGTTCTGTTGAACGAGTTTGATTTAATGTTTAATGGAAGGTTGTTATAAAACTAAGTCTCTCTGATTACAATGATTAGTTCTGTTGAACGAGTTTGATTTAATGTTTAATGGAAGGTTGTCATACAACTAAGACTCTCTGATTACAATGATTAGTTCTGTTGAACGAGTTTGATTTAATGTTTAATGGAAGGTTGTTATAAAACTAAGTCTCTCTGATTGCAATGGTTCTTGTTGAAACGCTATAAATGTATACCTTACGTTCTTGAAAATTGCTCTTCATGGGGCTTTTACCATAGGCATTAAAAATAACTGTCTGGCAAAGCTTGTTTAAATTTCAGTTAGTTTAAGGAGCACACTACTATACATAACATTGATGTAAGCAGTAGCAAAGTGTAGATAAACATCTTTTATATCTGAGTTAATTATAAATAGTATTCTGATGGTATTTTTTATATAATTTTTTATAAGCCAGAGCCTACAAGCTAAGGTAGCAATTAACAACCTATATAGTATGTATTATGATGTTAATCTCTATATCAACCTTAGTAATTATTTATTGTACTTTACCAAGTTTAAATTCCGAAAAAATAATTAATATCAAGAGGGCATGTGGACAAGATGGCAATAATAATTTTAATCATGCAGAGTTAATACAAAATTTCATGCTGTTTTATGGTTACATTTGCTGGTAAGGTAAGAAGAAATTGTATAATGTAAAAAGATATAAGTATTTTATTGGATTGCCAGGGATAAGAGTGAGGGATAAGTGAGCTATTTAGTTCTTAGCAATTGTTCCCAAAAAGATCGGTTACTCTTTCAACATGTAAACTTCTCATTTGGTTTGCAATGAAAATGTTCTCATCCCAGTAAGTTTAACAGATTCTTCTAGAAAAATCACTAGTATTATGAGAAAGCTATTATACTAATATCATAAGAATTTAATTTTTTGAAGCTAAATAAACACACTACTTCACTAGCACGTTTTCCATAATTTTAACACGTGACCGTCAGTTAATGGTAAACACTGTATGCTTTAAGTGGTAAGAGGTTATGTTTCTTTTAACTTGAATCTGCTTGTTTGGGCCTTCAGGTTTCGTTTGTTCTTAGGGTTCATCAAGTGAGACCAGTGAACGGGTACTGAATGAGCTGTGCTAAAAGTGTAGTGGTTACCCAAGGACAAAAAACCCCTGCAATTACTATGTAAATCTCAATTTTTGACGCGCAGCCTGAGCGACCTACCAAAGCCACCAATTCACCTAAATAACCTTGGAAGTATAGTGTAGAAGAAAAAGAGTGTAGGGAGTGAGCATGACCTTGAACTTCTGGCTGACCTGGAGCTCAAGACTTCCCCGTTGTGCTGCAGCAACGCAGGGTTGCCAAGGCGGGAGTGGATCTGTTTCTCTTGTCTGTTGGCCTCCTTGAAGATGGCGAGGTAGGTGAAGATCATGATGGTGCAGGGGATCCAGAAGGACACTGAGGAAGAAAACAGCGCATACCACGGATTCACCTGCGAACATTTGGAGGGAAATGCATTCAAAAGTATATATGAATAGTAATGCATATTTATCTCATTATTTTATATTTAATTCTTTGCCCACCTTGATTCACTGTTAGGTAGGCTTTTAATAGTAACACTTGTTTCTTACATTCCTTCATATCATCCCTTATATTATGTCCTCTCTAATTTAGGTGGTAAGCCTAAAAAGGTCATACATAGTTTTCAAAAGGAAAATTGTTTTGATTATAAGTGAATAGTGGCCGATATCACATCTATATGCTCAAAAAACAGTTAATCAAGTTTGTGCAAGAATTGTGTGATGTAGTAGACTAATATTTTGAATACATAACGAAATCTTATAAAAAGAACTCCTTTTCACTACAGATTTTGAAATTGCAGGGAGTGTGTTTGATCAAAGTATATTTTAAAATTACTCAAGTCTTTAGAAGTAATTTTATACTGACCTAAGTAACTTACCTTTTTCATACAATGGATGAAAAATGCTTAAAATAAAATTGTTAGTTATCTTTGTTGTTGATGCAACAGCAAAATGATAATATTTTTATGAACTTGGAATGATGAATCTGATTCTGATAATGTAACTTTATCACACTAGCCATAGTTCTAGGGTTCTCTGATTTAGGTTTTTTCATTTAAAACTTATTGTAGAACCTATCTATTTAATGTACTGATTTTACAACACAAGGAATCTTAAACGACCGAGGTTAAACGTAGGATTCTTCTTCCATTACGTTGTAAAACAATAAATTTGACATGTTTCATTGGACTAACCAATGCACCTAATCGCTGCTTATGAGTAATTAGTCATACAAATTGACAACTTTCTGCAAAGTATGGTGATTTTTCAACAGCTTGTTAAGTTTCTAAACAAAATTGGTAAATCATTTTGAGTTGTAAAAAAAAAACTACTGGCCGATTTTCCTATTTTTTTCATAGAAATTTGATTACTTTCAACAAAACCTTCTGGTTCTAATACTTCCTTCAAATGCTTGGTATTTTTGTATTATACCAACCAAACCATTAAATTGACTTCCAAATAATAGTTTAATTAATTAGCTTAAAACAAAATCTTAATAAGCTAACCTAACCTAAAACATTGTCCACCCTTAGGTTAGGTTAGTTTGGGTTGGGTTGGGTTGGGTTAGGTTAGGTTGGGTTGGGATGGGCCAGGTTAGGTTATAATTATTAGGTGTGGTCTGTATGATACGAAAGTACCAAATGCCTAATTTAACATTATGTCTACTGTACCTCAAAGTCGCACTCGTTCGGCCTAATCTGGTGATCCTTGGTGGTGTACCAACCGCAGAAGATGGGTGGAAAGGAAATCACAGCAGGGGCCAACCACGTGTTGATCAACATAAAAGCCACCACTCTCTTAGTCATGTTGATGGGATACTTGAGTGGCTTCACGATGGCGTAGTAGCGGTCTACACTGATGCAGCACAAATGGAGAATGGAGGCAGTGGAGAAATACACATCGAGAGAGTTCCAAACATCGCACATAAACTGCGAAAACATCCAGTGACCGGTGAGTTGAAGACTCGCGTTGAATGTCATTACAGCTATGGCTACAAGGATGTCCGCAAACGCTAGAGACACCACGAAGTAGTTGGTGATTATCCTTAATTTCCGATGCCTCATGACACTCACGATCACCAGAAGGTTCCCGAAGATCGCCCCGATGATGATCATCCCCATCACAAACGCTTTGAACACAAAGAGCAACACGTCTGTCCATTCTGGCTCAACTTCTGTTAACGTTGCGTTCACAAAACTCGAGTTGCCTATGGACAGATTAGGGGAGATGGCCGTTGAAACTAAGTTCGAGGAAAACATGTAAGTTTCACTGTCCGTTCTCGATTCCATTCCTGCACCTTTGTCTTCGGTTTCGTCAACACGTCGAGGGCCTCATGGGTTTGGGTTTAACACAACGCTTGATGTTGATTTCCATTTTCACTCGCGAACATTTATAAAATTTGAAATCAAGGGGGACTTTGAAGATATGGTTGGATGAACGATATGTTGATGTCACAGTGCTCCGACTCCTCTGATCTGGAACATACAAAGATCAAGCTGTATAAGTTTGTTAAGAATAAACAAATTGGTGTACAATCAATTATCAACTCTTAAATAATAAAATTACCTTGAATATTTAATATTAAAACAACTGTTTGCATGTAACTGGTTTTAGATCTTGGCTGCTAACATGTTGCACTTTCAAAATGAACACCACTTAAAACCAATAATGTAACTTCATTAGTCTAGTAAGTTTAGGCTGATGAGTCAGATGTCGATGGTTCAAGCCAAAAAAGCTAGTAGAATCCTAACATTGCAGAAATAATATTTCTTCGTAGCCGATTCACTCACCCTCTTATATAATTTCTAACGGTTTTATTGAAACAGCCTTAATGTTTGAATAGATAAAAAATAAAAAAATAAAAAATAAAATTTTTGTCATAATGTACTGCATTAAAAACGGCTGTTGCGGATGTAAAGTAGAATTTTTACTCTCTAAGGATTAAAAATCAGCTGATGTAAACAGTTGTAAATTTCGATTGTGGCAATCGTATTGATCGAAATGATTTATCGATTGATTTATTAAGTAAGATTTTAGCCTATTGTTGACGATTGCTCGACATATAGAGGGTATAATGTATTGTAATACAATCGTGATAGACGAAATGATTAAATCACTTACTAAACAACAACTTATTATTGTAGCAGAATTGAAAAAAAAAGCTGGAAGTCGTTTTGAGAGGTTATATTTACACAACATTTATTTCGTTTTTCAGCTTAGTTTGTTAGTTAATAATGCAATATGACGAAAAATATGGTTCACCACACGGGCAAAAAGTGTCTTTTTGCTCATTCTTCCTAAAACGTGACCTCGGGTCAAAAAGAGTATTTTTAGACCCTAGTGATGAAATATACTAATTATCTTGTCAATTACTACTATAATTTATCCAACTAATAATGTTATATTATGTCGTTATTAGTTACACTTGTTTGTATATTACTAAGCATTGAACTAAAAGAAATCAGTTATTCATCAGAATTTAACCTTTCCAACCAGTAAATATTTCAATAAAAAATAAATTTGTAACTGAAAATGAATTAAATGTATTTTCCCCCTTCTTTCAACTTTGAATCAATACTCTTTATACAAAATGGCAACCGTTAACAAAGAAACGTAGGATAATATATGATCAAGGTTTTATTCAAGTTGTAGCTTCGTTAACATCGTTAGCCAGTTTTTAGTTTGTTTAGTTCGTCAGTTATTTGATGCTGCACATAGTTGTTTATCGAATCTAAACGTATGGAACTTGACCGACAAATCGTTTCGAATTAAAAGTTGACTGGTCTTGCGAGACACTTTTAAAACATCTTTAAATACATTTCAATTCGCTATTTTACTACTTAAAAGAGTCTGACAACAGATTGCAAGCTAGAAACTCATTAAAAGGCTAATTTTCTTCGATACTTGAACTAGTTCTCAAATTTTTTATGATGGCGAACTGGCCTAGTGATAGAGTAAGGCAACTTGGTCCCTAAAGTCTTGGGTTCAAATATTGCCGATCACAAATAGCTTTTATCCAAATTTGGCCTAGGAAAATTGGGGTGGGGGGGACGTTTGGGTTAAAAAAATATATCTTCCGAAAATATTATTCGATTTCTAATACCAGCAATTCTATACATGACAATATATAGCATGGGTGGGTCAACGAATGAAACAAGCTTTTCTCACGAAGAAACACAGTTTGAGTGCCATTATGATACAAAAGGTCCGAGCGGGCGTGGTTACGGTAATGCCCACTAACTTTGCCCTTTATCCGAACCATTGTCCTTAAAGCCTATTATAGGATGGTGCCCTTAACTTCCACTTCGACATCTATTCAACCGAACCTTCTATCTTCCGAGAATTGGTTACGCAACGATCCTATAATTTTCAGCTCTAGATTGATTCCTGAATATTGTAGGTGTGATTAAGATAAAATCCCCTAAAGGTATTTAGTTGTTTTAAGATTATTCATAGTTATAATTTAAATTTTTTTAAGTTTATGTTGCCAAATAACTCTTAAATAAAACTAAATATATCTTTAAAGTAAATTATTTAAACGAAAAAATAAATATATATTGTTACTGAGTTATTAGTCCTTTTTAAATACCAAAATCTAACTCTCTTGCAAAATTAGCATTGAATCATCCGGTTTATTAGATTTTGGAATTTTAACTAAACTTTTCTGCAAAAGACCCGTACAAATAGTTATATAAACGCACATTTGCACCTCTTTCATTACTTTTACACATTTATTCACTTAAACTAGAGTGTTGGCTCTGTTGGATTTGAACCCCAGTCCCTCTTACTGAAGTCTAGGACACTAGGTAAGCATTACTATAGGCCCTAATGGACTCCTCATCCCGTTGTAAATTTTAAAGCTTGTTTTTCTTGTGTAGTTCATGTACGTCCACACTGATTGCTGGGGTAGAACAAATGTTGTTTCTATTATTTTAGGGTTATTTTCATGACTTGTGCTTTACTGTTTGGTACTAGGAGACCGGTTATTGTTTATGATTATATCGTTTTATTTGGTTAAATTAGGTTTTAAATGATTGAAATAACAAGAAACAAATTGTAAACAAAACACAACCTCTACAGTTGGACGTAAAGAACTAACCATGAAATTGTCTTCAGCTGTTCCATAAGGATGACAAATCTACTTAGTGAGTATATTTTATCGTATGTTTTATCTATGGCATTACCTAGAGAAATAATCAGTAGTTCCATCGTTCGTCGTTAATACTTGTAAAGAAAAACGTAAATTTAAATACGGCATGACCAGTTAGAGGATTATTAATAAAATATTTTACAATTCAAAGAATCGCATCTACAATAGTTTTATTTAGAACAATTTCTATATTAATTGGAGTTAATATAGAAATTCTACGAATACTGAAAAATATTTTACACACCTACTATTTTCTCAAGAATATATTCCTTTACATTGCGAGCAGAACATTTTTTCGTAAAGTAAAAAAGATAAAATGAATGAAATAAAAAGAACGACAGTCAAAGCAACACTTGAGAATGTAGCGCGCCAGGCGGCTTGTTTTGAAACTACGTAACTGACAGAAGAAGATTTAATTCTGCAGTGAAAAACGAGTTTTGCAGGGAATGCTTTAGACAATCTTTCTTCTGTTTTCATACGTTTTGTGTGATGTTTCAGTTATCAATTTAAAATAACGGAAGAGCAAAGGAAAAGCTTAGATGTTTTACGTTGAATTTTTCAAATATAATTTTACTTTCGGTGGAAACATTTCCTTAAAATGTTGTTTTTAATGTAATCGGTTTTACTGGAGATATTGTGGTTTACTATAAAATATATAATAGGTTCATCAATTGTTTGTTGGATATTAATAATTTGCAATGCATGAAGAGGTGTCAAATCGTTTGACAAACAGTTAATTATTTGTATATAATTATTCTATCTGTCTATTAATGAGAGTTAATTTCAGTAACTGAATGGATCTAAACGAAACATATTGCATGTATACCTGTATTTAGTAATATTCTGTACCGTACGTAATATTTAATTGCACATAAAAATCACCTATTTAGTACAAATGAATATACCGGTTTCCCTTATAAGTTTGTTTTACTATGTTGAATCTCGTATGGTAGAACATGTAAAATCAAAATAATGGATTGACAGTTTGTTTGACACATTTTCTTTAACTTCTCGAATGTTTAAGCTAGGGAATTATCCAATAGCAGTAATATAAAATTAAAATTTATTTTAAATTCTAGTTACGGTTGGTTAAAACTAGGAAAACTCATCTTGGTTCTTGTTTATGTTTTCAATGTTCCGAGACAGTGAAATATACATATTGATTGTTTGGTTCTAGATAGAAAAGGTCAAGAGTTTTCCCGCTTAGTACAATGCTTACCACTCTCATATACGTATATTTAAAGGAAATTAAAACTTTTTTCTTAATAATATAAACATGTTAGTTCCATCCGTACATTTTAAAACTTAATGTACTTTGACGAAACATTAGATATCAATTTCTTTCACTTGAACACTTCAATACATGTTTGTTGGCTAAGTAATCGTTGCATATTTCAAGATGCTTTTGAAAATGGTAAAATATGTGGATTAATTACAATAAAATTTTTATGTTAAGATAAAATTAGTTTATCAATGGTTATTTTACCTTATTATTATTCTTAAATCCATAATAATTTAAGTTCAACATATTTGTAATGATAATTATATATTGTATATTCCGAATTTTACAATGTCCAAATGATATAAAGTTATTAATTTTCTCCTGGTTTCCTCCCCACACACACACTTTCGCTGCCATGTGTATTAAACTTATACACGTAGGGGCGTCTGTCCAGCCCGTGTGCATATATTTTATGCACAATATTTTACACCTCTAACTTGTTACTAACTTCACCCTCTGCCCAAAAAGGTACACATATCTCATTGTATTTGAAGTGGATGTATTTAGAAGGGAGAAATTGAAAATCACGACTTAATGGGGAAGTACAGGATTTTGTATATAATTCCTATGTTGACAAAGAATCTATGTATGTTGATAGTTGAAAATGTCAATGTAACATTTATACAAAAAACATACTAATTTAAAAGAGTAATAGGTACATTTAATTATATTTCTAACAGTAATGGAATAGTTTGGTGATAAAATTTGTTTACTTATAATTATTCTTTTTCATTAAAACAATTTCCTTACTATAAATTAATGGTCTTACAGGAATATCAAACAACTCAAGCAATATTCCCATTTACATGGAGACAGTTATTAAAAAAATATTCTAAATCAATCTTTCAAATAAAAAAAAAAAATTAGGACAAAAATAAAATCCTTAATTGCATACAGGGTGTTAAATAGATACATACAAATTTTTAAAAAAATATTCACATAAATTTATATCATATACATCTTCAAACATATAAAACAAGAATAAATAAACGTAATACTCTTTACACATGTTATATTATTTTATGCTAATTCAATAACTATCT